ATGAACTGCTGTGAAATCATGTTGGTAAAATCACTATTGCTATACTAGAAAATCAAGACTTTAACTTCAAGGATTTCTGATTTGGTTTCTAAAACCAACATAATGCACCGTTATTATTGCTCTTGTTCTGTCACAGTATGCTAAGTAAAATATGCTAGCAGCAACTTGCTAAATCTTACAATCTGCTGAAACAAGCTATCTTTGATTTAAAACACCAGATTATTTAAAAAATGCTAATAACATGCTAAATAACATGCCAAAACATGCTAAAACATTTTAGCTTGTGTTTAGATGCTAACAATGTATTAAAATGACTAAACTGAGCAACACGATAGCAAATGCTAGCCATGTGTTAAAAACTACTATTACTACTAGAAGGTTAACTTTAAACTTTTAAATGTTCTGGTCAGGCTTTATTAAGCCAATTCAAACCTTTTTCAACTTAGCCTTATTAATATTTTTCAAAAGACAAGGAAGTGTGTATTAAATATTGCAAGTGTGTCTTGTTTAAAGTTGTAATATTTAAGTCACTCTGACAATCTGTACAGCGTCACTAGAAATGGCTAATTTGTGTTTATATGCTCAACAAAAGATGCTAAAAATATGTGAAATCATACAAACAATGTGTCAAAACATACTCGCAGCATTCAAAGACATGCTAAAAGTATGTTAGCATTTTGTAATTGCTAGCACTGTGTTAAAATTACCATTACTTCAAACTGAACACTTTCAACTTGAAACGACTTTCTAAGGGCAACATCAGGTTTTATCTAGCTAAGCTTAGTGATATTTAAAAACAATGAAGAACACTCTTCCTGTGTGTTTATATTCAGATCAAATATGCAAATGAAAAGTCAACATACTTTGGCTTTTAAATCAACATTTCACTTGTGAATCCAACTTAATATTTAAAGCATAAAAGGTAGCGTTGAAAGGACATGTTAACTAGAAAGATGCTAGCCACAACTTGATTCATGCTAGCAATGTACTCAAACATGCTAACAAGGAGGAAAAACATACCAGCAATGCTCACATATGCTAACAGCATGTTAACAGACTGTTTAATATGCTAGCAAAGCTTTAAAAAACTTCCTCAACTACTTAATAATACTTAAAAAATGCTAAATAATGTTTAGTGTATTGTCAGCAAAAACAAAATACACAGAATAAAAATAGTTTCAAACTTTTGACTTCAGCTGTTAACTGTTAAACTATGAACATCCAATCTATCACTAAAGAAGCCTTAAAAAGGAGTCAAAGTTTTTAATATGCTAAGGAAACATGCTAAATCAAGCATTCAAAATGTTATAACATGCACATAAATGTTGTAAATCATGGTAGCAACGTGCTATTTACATGTTTGCAACCACAATTTCTTAAGCCAGCCTCAGATATTTATCAAGTTAGTTAAGATAAAGCAACAACAATAGTTTACTGTATATTGGTTTTGATATAAAATAGTGTGAATTCAATATAACTGTGTCACAAATACCTCAATTTTAGCATGATTAATGTATTTTATGCACAATGTATTTTATGACTGGATTTCACTTGATGTTGAATGTCACTTTCAGATCCTGAAGCGCCAACCTCGACTCTGTGACCTCCTTATTTTAACGATTTAAGCGCAGAATAAGGTCCCGGCAGATTTTTCTAAAGTCTGGACCTTCCAGATCAGGTAATTAAAAGGAGTAATTGACTTTTTTTCAGCTGAACGCTGTCAGGCATGTTCGATCAAAGCAGAGAGAGGAAATCTAGGCCACCAACCACGGGCTCTCTCAAAGACACTTTCCCCTCATTAGATTTAATAGACTGCAACGTTTCCACCTCGCAAGAATCCATATCTCCAAATCAACACTGTAAATAAAGTATACAGAGGCGTTGTTATTTTCGACACCCGTTTCCAGGCCCCGTTCCAGTTCCGCATTTCATTAGGAGACTCTCTTCTATCTTTCAGCAATCTGTTGTATGAAGAGTTTGTTAATTATAATTTGTGCAACCTAATGGGTTATGAGAACGCCACGGTTAGTGCGGTTATTAATATCAGCGCTTAACCACAGATGGTTTCGTGCCTGCAAAGTCCCGCTGCCTTCTGTTGGATCTCTAATCTATAATTATTATCTAACACTAATATTTATTTGGCTGGAAAGGCGCTACTAATTATGCCGCAAACGTGAAGCCATTTCAAGTCAAGGATGAGGCCGTTTGGAGTTTATCGATGACCACAGAATGTGACGACGGGTCGTTCGAAGTTCATATTGAAATGTAAAGATTTTTTGTTAAGTTACGATTTTGATGAACACTTTGATTTGTTTTAAACAAATTTTGCGTCAAAAGTCAACTACATAAATCACAAATAAATACAGTAAATAAAAAGTTGCTATGTTTTCAGACATGTTTGTGTTAATTTTTAGACAAAACAATAGCAATGTCTTAACTCTTCTTCGTTAACGTTCGTTATTGTGGCCAATTAACATTTTCTGAAAAAAATAAAAGCTCTATGACAAAATCTGTATTTGAAATTTGGAAAAAAAACTATATACTATAACTATAACAAATATTAACAGTTTACTATATATTTAAATTTACAGAAGACAATTTATGTAAGAGTGTAATGCAAATATCATAAAAAAACGTATCCCTTAGAATAAGAATTAATATCGCGCAACACCAAATACGAATATTTTCCTTTATTAGCGTCATATCAAGCTGCTATTATACAAACACAATCTTACGTAATTCGTGACTTTGTATTTTTGTGGCTAGTTCGTATTAAAGTGTACATTCTTATTGATCGATTTTAATCCATTTTGCTTATCACCCCGATGACGTTTGTTTTTTTATTTATTTATTTTTTAGGCTAAACCAAACCAATCTCCGTTTTAAAAAAAAAAAATCTAACAAATGTAACTGTATATGAATTAGCCGTTTTTCTGACAATATGTAAAATAGTTATGTTTCCTCATGAGATTGGTTTGGTTATATCCATTTGTCAGCAAGACATTCTCACTTTATAAAATATAACAGAAATTCTGTATTATCACTTAAAATTGCGTATGTTTTATTAGCAGGTCCAAAAAACTGTTGAATTTTTACGAGAAACCATGAATGATGACGGAACATTATTTTCTCTGAAATTATTTGAAACATTAAAGTAGGTCCTTTACTTGCATTTAACATTCTTTCTATATACATAAAATTTAGACACTAAAGTGGGGCATTTAGTTTTTTATCCATACATAATTTCAACATTTAATTTTTTTTAATGATGCATGCTCTGGCATTAAATTGGCCTTGATTCCTACCTGCCAAATTTCCATTTATGTACTTATTTATTTCAAATCGATGTAGCTCATATGCAAATAAGCCATGACGGATTTGCATATTCATATCGGACAACCCCAATCTTCCTCAGAGAGTGATGCAAATCTCAGTTCTACAGAGCTATATATGACTCATATTCACAATAGTCTGCGCCAACAGTCACATTGCCAGGCATATTATTACTTCTTTTGGCTTATTTGCCAGCTTTTCAAACCATTTAAAAATCGACCCATCAAACACAAATCAACCAAAAGTCACTAAAATATGCAGTCAGTTAAAAATGCGTAAAAAAATGGCTGTTCAAATTATAATTTCCAGTTCTTCCCAAGCCATTAATCCCTACAGCTAACTTTTTTTTTACTATTATTATTTCTGAAGAATGTCCTCCTACGAATTACATAAATCTTCATAAGAGCCACTGATGGTATGTTTAAGGCCCTTGAACAAGCTCTGTGACTCATTTAGATGTCAACGGCGTTGATCTGCACAGGAAAACAGCGCATCCTAGCGGTCACTTTTCACTCTAAAACGAGATCCGCAGAAGTCTGTCCTTACATTTTAGAGATCAATAAATGATTGATTTATTGAATTACTTATTTATAAGCCCCTGTGTATTTAATTATCGCATTACATGCTCATAAATCGTCTTTAGAAAGTCTAGTAAGCAGAAACCAAAAGAGAGAAAAAAATGTTGCTTTCTCTCTCTCCCCCCAAATGCCCTCATTAGTTCAGTGGCAGCACTTTAAATATGCATTTAATTACACACATAGATGCATACAGAAATTCGTATTGTACCAAAGCATTTAAATGTATGCTTAAACAGTTTAAAAAACGCTTGGTGAATTAAAATGTTGTATGCAATTATTGTTGCTTTTAATATTCCTAATTAACAACAAAGTCACTGTTGCAGTAACTAAATGAGCCAGGATTTGGACGTGAAATTATCTATCTATCTATCTATCTATCTATCTATCTATCTATCTATCTATCTATCTATCTATCTGTCTGTCTATCTATCTATCTATCATATTATTTATGCTAAAAATAAATAAATAATAATTCAATCTAACTAATATTAGCCTATACAAAGTTAATACATTTGTACTTGCACTTCCTAATATACATAAATATATAGACTGTTACAAATATTGTAAAGCATGCACATACATTTTATGTAAATGTTCTATATAATATACAAGATATTGTAGTTGACAGTTAAATTTGACAATTTTTAACTAAACAAAAATATTAAAAGTAAATAGCCTACTACATAAATAAAAAATATATCTAACAAAAACTAGCATATATTAATTAAACAATTACATTTGATCACTGTTTAAATGTTATTAAACTCATACAAACGCAACAATATGCATAAAACATACACACAATATGAAACTGAAGACAAAAAAACGATTGTTTTAATACAGTGCTTGGTCAAATATGGACAAACGCAGATTGAGTTGGGTTAAAAAGTGACATTTGAATTTGCATGAAAAACTTAACCCAATGTTGGATCAAATATGGAAAACCCCAACGTGGGGTTAACATAACCCAGCATGTTTGCAGTGTGTTTCATCAACAATCAATAAATAATTATTAGATTTTATATTCATTTTTTAAAACAATTAAACGCTTCATTAAAGGTCACAATTAATGAATGTAAATACACTCACAGTTATTGGCTGCCAGCGTGGTGCGTAGCGCGCAGAAGAGCGCGAGCGCGTGGAGACTCAGCGCGTCCATCATCACCAACATCATCATTAATTTTCTCCAAAAGCACAATATACGCTTTTATCCAAGTTGCACTGTATTCCCAGCCAGCGTTAAAATAGCTCCAGGAAAAAACAACAACAACAACAGGACAGTTCGGGATCGGGTCCAGCGGCTCTTCGGCTAGTCTGTCCAGAGATGAATCGAATCAGACACTCCCCCCATAGTTGCTCTTAAAGACATACGGTGGGCTCTTTCCACAAGACTTGACTTAATTTTATTTTTTACATTTGTTTGTCAGGGTAGTCTTCAGATTCAAGTCATGTTATTCCGAACTGCGCGGGTCCAGCTGGAGTCAGTGAGGTAAAAGCACGCGAAGACTCTGCGTGGAGAAGCTGGAAGCCGAATGATACGATCTGTGGGAAGCAGTTGAGTTTACACAGTGAGAGAGAGAGAGAGAGAAAGAGAGAGAGAGAGAGAGAGAGAGAGAGGTTCAGCACCACACATGTGGACAGCAGCGCTCACTGGCGCGCGCTCCCGCTCGCGGTCCCGCGCTCTAACATTTTAATCGACTGGAGCTGTCGTCTGTTTTAAATCTTCATATGTTTCCATAATCGTCTGCCAGTATGTTGAATAGATTCAGTAACAGCACTGCAGGCGATTAGGGCACAATATTTAACTAGTTATCGACAAGAATGACAAACGTCTGGTTTTCTAAAAGCTTGCGTTTTAGGTTTAACACACGTCATAAAACGTGTTTTATACATCACTTTTTTGGAAGGACACTATATAGGCTACACTGTATAACTGAAGGGTAACTAGTGTGAATCCTATCTCCTCAACTTTTCTAATTTAGGATGTAATGTAATTTTCTCAGTATTGGGTTGTGGCTATAAGGGCATTCGCTGTGTAAAACATGCGCTGGAAAAGTTGGTGGTTCATTCCTCTGTGGTGATCCCTGAAAAATAAGTAACTAAGCTGAAGGAAAATCAATGAATGTAATGCCTGCTTTGAAATGAAAATAAATGCTATACAAATAATCTTGAATTTAATTAATTGAAAACGTTTAGTTTAAAAAGTTTGCAACAGAGTTGTTTTATTAAACATAGGCTAATTTGCATACATTTCAAAGCACAGAATTCTGAATATTGGATAAAGTCAGGCTCCAAATTATTATTTTTTCGACATGTTAGTCAAAGGTTTTTAAAGAGGGGATTTTGATAATATCTTTTTATTATAATTCAGAAAATTATACTTTCATAAAGGCAGGAAAATCTTTCAGAATACATATATATGATTAAAACAGAGCAAAGCATTTGGGAAAAAAAAACTGCCTTTAAAAATATGTATCATAATCCAAGACTGTAGACACAAATTGATTACTTGTGACATAAGAAACATTTAAGATGTCATTTGGATGTTTTTCCTTTTTATATTAGACTGAAAATAAATCTCCAAAAAGAGACCAAAATTTATAGGTGCCTGAAAAATATTTATTTATTTATTATCTTTTTATTTATTTATTTATTTATTTATTTATTTATTTAATGTATTTATTTATTTATTTAATGTATTTATTTATTGAATTAATTAATTAATTAATTAATTAATTTATTTATTTATTTAATGTATTTATATAATGTATTTATTTATTTATTTAATGTATTTATTTATTTATTTATTTAATGTATTTATTTATTTAATGCATTAATTAATTAATTAATTTATTTATTTATTTATTGTATTATTATTGTTTTAATTTTGCTTGCAGTTTCTTTCACTTTAATCTAAATCTAGCCCCTAACCTGTGAAAATTAATATCAAGTACAGGGAGTGTTTAATAACCTGCGGCTCACAGCTCTTGTTTGTTTCTCTTCAAATTCATTTGGGAGACTCAAAAACATAGACAAACAAGTCAAGCTGTGTTACATTAAGAATGCAGTCTTATAAAGCAAATGTAAGCGTAGCATAACAAGTTCAAAAAGAGATGTCAATTAATATTGTATTGGACTTTAGGTGGAATTTGCGCTCAAACTCATACTTATTTAATACCAATGTTAAACATAGGAAGTTCATGAAGATACAGAAAAATGCTAACGCGTGCACACATAAAATATTTATCCTATATGTGAAGATTTCAGATGTATCCTTCATTCATTCATTTACTTTTTGGCTTAGTTCCTTTATTAATCTGGGGTCGCCACAGTGAAATGAACCGCCAACTGCAAAAATGTTTTACGCAGCGGATGCCCTTCCAGCTGCAACCCATCACTGGGAAAAGTTCAGATGCAAAAAATACTCTACATGCCATTTGAAATTTTCTTCAAAACTGAGCGTTTTTATCGTGTTCCTGTGTGTAGGTTCAACACATTCACTTTCATGTTGAAGAATACGGCCCTTTCATTGTCTTTAAAATGAAGTAACTCAACACAAACATATAAGAGTCTGAGAAAAATGCTTATTTTCAATGGAAACTTCAGATGGCACTTAGAGGCTTTTGCATCTAAACTCTTCATTTGTAGAATTGTATAAATGTACTTTCATTTTTGTGGCTTTGAGATTTTATAAGACTTTTTTTTTAAGAAAAAAAAAAGGAAAACAACAGAAATGTGTGTGTTTGTGTATACAGTGTATGACTGTGTGTGAATCAGTGCGTGTGGATGTTTCCCAGAGATGGGTTGCGGCTGGAAGGGCATCTGCTGCGTAAAAACTTGCTGAATAACTTGGCAGTTCATTCCGCTGTGGCGACCCCGGATTAATAAAAAGACTGAGCCGAAAAGAAAATGAATGAATGAATGAAAAAGCAGCAAAAACCTATTTTTTGCTTCTTTTTTTTAATGTACTGTCAACTGTTAGTGGTTTATTATGTTTAACAATATGTTAAGCACCAATTAGTCACAGAATCAACTGGTCCATATAATTTTTAAGCATTTTGACTCCTTTTAAATGAATAATGGATTCATTCATTCATTTTCTTGTCGGCTTAGTCCCTTTATTAATCCGGGGTCGCCACAGCGGAATGAACCGCCAACTTATCCAGCAAGTTTTTACACAGCGGATGCCCTTCCAGCTGCAACCCATCTCTGGGAAACATCCACACATACACTACGGACAATTTAGCCTACCCAATTCACCTGTACCGCATGTCTTTGGACTGTGGGGGAAACCGGAGTACCCGGAGGAAACCCACGCGAACGCAGGAAGAACATGCAAACTCCACACAGAAACGCCAACTGAGCCGAGGATCAAACCAGCGTCCAGCAACCTTCTTGCTTTGAGGCGAACGTGCTACCCACTGCGCCACTGCGTCGCCGATAATGGATTCAGTTTAGTGTAAATATACATTTGCTGTACAGTCCAGTTTAAGAACAACGAATGGAAAATGCTTGCATTGTGCCATGTGGCCATCTGTTTGTGTGTGATACAAACAAAAGTGGCAAAACACAACAAAACGACTAAAAATGTATCTAAAAACTTTAAAACCTTAACTAAAATTAATTCAAATTCTGAATAGGTCTTTCTACTAAAATATCTAAAAACATATCAAGAAAAGTATGCAGTTAACTAAAAATAAACCACCAATACTTCTTTATATATATTTTTAGAAATGATGTCAATTGACAAGCATATTTAATTTTATTTTAGCTTGAAATAATAAAAATAATACTATCAAAAATATATGCATTTAGTAACCAAATATTACCAAAATCACACAAAAAATAAGAAAAAAATACAATGAATCTGCATTAAATTATTCATTCTACTAAGTGAGTATTTACACACATGAAAAAAGGGATTTTTAAAGCATTTATATGGTTTAAAAACAAACAAAAAGTTTCAATTTTTAGTGCATTGCTGTCTCGTAAAAACACTTCACTCTTCCTTTATATCTGAAAGATTAATAATCAACCATATTCTCCATAATGCTAATGTGCTTCATTCCTTCGAGATCAGCGAATTAAAGCCAGATCAGTGTTAATTATTCATCTAAAATACAGAAATGACTGATCCATCATGCAGAAAGTCAAGCTGAAGACATCATAATTTAAAACGAGAACATAGAAAGCTAAATATACTGACACATCGGAGATAATGCATTTTACAGATGCGCTGATAATCTCTCGCAGGTCAGGGTTCATAATGGCATCTGTTTGAGACTGGATTATAAGAATCCAGACTACAGCGATTAAAGCATTAAATCCCAGAGGACATTTTGACGGACAATGATACTGTTAAAAAAAAGGAAAGAAGCTCTTTGATAAAGTCTAGTTTGTATCTTTGATAAGTTAAATATATGCTTTTGTTCATGGATCCACTTTCTGAAATCATTGTGTCAAAATAATCCGAGAGGAATTGCAGTTATTTCCCCATTGTTTTTTTTTTTTTTTTTTTTTTGTAGACAGTTACAGACAGATGGAATTATTTTTAGAATCATAATTCTAAGAAATCACTCAACAATTCTCAGGTTTTACTGGATTTACTGGATTAAACACTTTGGATCAACTTTACTCTAAGAAGTATGCTTTTAACTGAATATATTACAAAACTGTAATAAATAAAGATCAATTAATTTAGGTGTCATTCATTTATATATATATATATATATATATATATATATATATATATATATATATATATATATTTATTTTTTATTTATTTTATTTTTTTATTTTTTTTATTTTATTTTTTTTTTTTGGCTTAGTCCCTTTATTAATCCGGGGTTGCCACAGCGGAATGAACCGGCAACTTATCCAGCATATGTTTTACGCAGCGGATGCCCATCCAGCTGCAACTCATCTATGGGAAACTAATTTATTTATAACAAGTTGAAGTAATATATAAGCAGCCATTTAAGTAGTTAGGTAAGGGTTTGAGTAGAATGATAATATTTTGTTTAATACTTAGTGGACACCTAGATGTGAAAAAGACATCAAAAATATTCAGAAAACAAGTCAAAGGTCTAAATTGATCTGATGTCAGTTGCCTACCTTGATATCAAAACTACATCAAATTGACATCAAAAATCAATGTCAAAAACACATCAAAAATCCATTACAGAACTGTCATTGAATCGATTTTGGCGCTAATATTAGATGTCTATTTGATGTCATTTTGACATCATGGTAGTTTTCTTGCATTTTAGCGATACAAAATCTAGTGTAAAATTGTCATTTGCAACTGAAGCTTTCAGTTGAATAAAACTTTTCCTTTAGTACAGCACTTGTTATGTCGTTATTTGGATAAACAAAAGGACGTCATTGTGTGGATGTCAAATAGACGTCAAGGTTTTGAATCCATTACTATTTTTGATGATTTTTTTATTTCACTTCATGCTTGGTGTAAATTTGAGCTTTGACCAAGGTGCCTGCTGGATCCAATAGAGGTTTCACAGCATTTCTTCCATATTTAAAATAAAAATATGGTCAATTAATATGTTATCAG